TACATTTTGAGACACTATTTGGAACGAACTGTGAACACCCCATATGTAACATATTTAGCGGACGTACATATGTAACTAAACTTTTTTCTCAGTGTACTAATAAAAATCGAAAACATCGAATTTTCTTCGACCAGTAGGTCCCTTTTAAGTTTCGCTGTCACATAGTTAGTGTATATACACACATATGTACGTACCTGTTATTTGATTACTCTGTGTTAATATTATAGACATTAGGAGTATTTTCTGTGGAGCTGTTTCCATGAAGCATTCAAATAAACGAATCAACGCAACATCGCTTTCCTCTTTGGTAGTTAATTTGTAATACCTGTGGAAGATCATACATATTGATAAACGGGAACATATCGTTACCTTACTATAGAAAGGCGCTATCTCCTCACATCGTCGCTGAAATACAAAAAGCTGTAACCAAGTAAAAATCCAAAAATTCCCTTTTTGATGATTATGATGCATTTCGTCGAATTATAAGTGCCCACATCATTTTAAGCAATACAAAATTTTATTTCGTTACTTTTTTGTATTTCAGCGACTATTTATATGAGTTAGGGCCTTTCTCTATTAAGGTAACGATATGTTTGTGCATGTGTACTCAATAAACATTTGGCTTGGATAAACATTTGAAAATTATTGGAAAACGAGTCTCTTTTTCAAGTCAAACTTGCGATAACACAGTAGGGAAAATCTCAAGTTTTGAAATGACACAAAAAAACGTCGAAAAACGAAGACACTTAATATTGGGTCGTAGATTATGGATCCGTTTACCGTTTTTCCAGACCAGGTCATTTTTCCCAAGATATTTTCACAATCGATGGAAAAATGAACAAGCAATAATTTTTTCTTATAAAATAGGAGGAAGTGATGTTACTCATACGCCATATCGAACAATGCGTATGAATAACATTTTCCATGTTAAAGCGTATACAGCTCTCAAGAAAACGGTCAAGAAAAAAAATTGTAATTATTTTGTGTATGTAAATATGTGGTACTGCCCAAGGAAATAATGGAACGGGCATCACAAAAAAAAAACTTTAAAAAACCGTAGAAGAAACCGTAGCAAATCTTTAAGAACTGAATATTGCCTTAAGGAAAATTGGGAGCTGGATACTAAGCTTACGGTTTGAATTTTTTTCCAATCGCAAAGCGAATATCTTGGAAAAATTAACTGATCTGGAAAACGGTCTACAGATCCGTGATCTCCGACTCAAAATTAAGATTACGAGTCTCGGCGTTTTTTTGTATCATTTTAGCGTCCCTACAGGATATGAAATAAGAGCCACACGTTTGACTACAATTAATAGGAAAAAACTATTGATTGTGCGAACATTATGGCGTTACCACCCACGGAAATTGTCTGGCAATATTGGGTATTGATGTTTAACAATATTCTGTAAAATATATACAAAAACCAGCACTTCAACTTTAACAAATATAAGTAACGTTTTTAGGTATTGTAGGACTCATAAGTGTCCAGGTGTTCGTGTGCTCATGCGTTCTTATAACTATGAATATTTTTTAAACGTCGGGATGTCAAGTGTCTTCTTCATTAATTTATTAAGACTCTCCGTGTATTCTGGCCCAAAAACAATTTTTCGTACAAACGAGGTAACACCTTCGTTATCACAAAGGACATAGGATATAAGTGAGCCATAAACATAGCCGGCATCCTTATTAATAATATAATTAATGCAATTATAAAAAATAATAGTAATACCCACAAACAAATCGTGGATATGAAAAACATAAGCTGTAGAAAAAAAGCGAAAATATAATGGGCTTTCTTTGGCTATTCCCCTTTCGATTATTTAGTGTTTATTACTTTTTATGAAAGTGTAGCTCGTTAAATAACAAAGAGCAAGCCAGAATTTCAAACATTATACAAAAATTAGCTACATTCGACAAAGTTTGATCAAAATTTTTAGCTTTTTGATTAGATTTCTTAGAAACATTCTGAGTCTGCAGTTTTATAACCTATTTAATTCAAAGTGCAAATTTTAAGTAGCTAAGACTTATCGTTGATATTTAGTAAATTAAGTGGAAGAAATTGCTTATTTTCTCCATCCAAAAAAAAAATTAAACATAACGTCTTTTATTCTAAAAAGAAATTGTACGTTCCGAGTCGATGCTTTCGAAATGTCCCGATTTTTAGCCACAGAAATCTGATCACCGTGGCTATACGGCATTAAAAACGGATCGAGGAGATCATTCGATTTTGTACATTACAAGGAACGGACGTGTTTGATCCATTTTATTGCCACCTGATACATATTAGCGCCTTTTCTACCTGTTACCTGTAAAAGTTCTCAAGCAAGCAGAAGCACATACATACATTCTTAAATACATATAACACTACTTACCCCTTAAATTTTGGTACTTCGAAAATGACTTAGGTCTGGCGGCCGTGCGATCTTGAACTAAAAGGTTGGGTATAAAATCCGTTTCAGTTCGATATGCAATTGGGTATTTTCGAATGTTCGCCGCAATATTTATTGAGTACGTATTTGCATACATATATACATACATATATGTATGTGCATATATATGTGAGTTATCGACTTACTGTAATTGCTCGTTTTTATTCCCTTTCAATTCAGAACGTTTACATTTTATGGAATAAATAAGAGAGTTCCAATACCTAAAATTAAGATTATACATACATACATACATGTGTGCGGGGTCGCTAAAATCGAGTTTAAGCTAGAGATAGTAGTTAGGGTGTAAATTTGCCTACATAATTTTATAATACATACTTTTGAACTTCTTTGGACTAAAATTGGAGTACTGCTACCCATGTCGGAAATTTTATTAAAACTGCTAATCTTGCACCTATTATTTTTATACCCGAATGCACTTGTGGCAAAATCGGGCAACAACCACGCCTGCCTTCCAAATAACGGTAATTTCAGAAGTACGAAAACTGCGATACTTTAATTACTGAATCTTATTTACTCGAAATTGATATTTACAATAGGGGTATTCATCAGCTTAAATGCCTCGTAAATGCGTATATCCCGTAAATAAGCTGGTTTTCCATACAAAATTAAGTTTACGAGGTTTACCTGGTGAATACCTCTAATGATTTTTATATCAATGTTAAGAATATTATACATTTTTGGAAAATGGGCGTAACCACGCCCACTTATGATACGTGTATGTATACCTTGGTAACCGCTCCACTAAGTTCTCTCAAACTTCGCATAGTTGTTGGCCTCGATACAAAATACCAAATGGCTGAAAATTTTTAAAATCGGACCTTAACCACGCCCCATCCCATACAACGGTTATTTAGAGAAGTACGAGAGCTTCGATAAATCAGTAAACGCTGAAGCTAATTCATTCAAAATTGATGTTTGCTATAATTCTTTAGCAAAAACTAGGTTTATGAATAAATTTGGAAGTGGGCGGTAGCCGTTAGATAAATTTGTACCAAACTCGGTGTGGTTATTGGGCTTGCGACATAAAAGCAAAACATTGAAAATTATTGAAATCGGACTAAAATTACGCTTAACGGTAAATTACAGAAATGCTTGAAACTTCGCTATTTCGAAATTTAAGGACGCTAATTTACTCAAAATTGATACTAACAACATTCCCTTGAAAAGAAGTAACATTTTTTGTGGAATTTTGGAAAATGCGCCGGGATTTTAATGTTGGGCTCCGCCCGAACTTAGACTATTTTACTTGTTTTCATTTGTTTTCCCTATTTTATCATACATTTTAGTATACAATTTTCGGCCCCTCGGCAACACGGAAGTTTTCGAGGTCGAGGCCTCGTAATTTTGCGGGGGGCCCGTAAATAGAGCTCCATACAAATATTGACAGTTCTTTTATGAGCTTTACAAGGTTTACGAGGCTTTTACGAGTTTAAGAGAAGACACCTACTAAAACGAAAAACAAAAGTGTTAATAAACGATCATTAAAAGCTTTGGGTTTTATGAGTCTCGAATTTTGATCGAAGGTAGTTCATAAGTTTTCTACAATCACGTAGAAAAATTTCTACCTTAGACATTGTCTCTAGCTAAAAAATCAATTTTGAGGATCCTGTTTAATCTACATTCATAGAAAGTTATGTACTTAGGTACATATGTGTGTATATAAGCACATTAACTAACCTTAGAAAAAGTGAGGAGAATAAAACTAGCATAGTTGTTTGCAACACTTCCCAGAAGTCGCCATTAAATTTGTTATCCTCATGACACCTAAAGAAATAAACAGAATAACAAAAAAATTAAATACTTAAGTTAAAATAACTCTTTGCAGGTTTTTATTTCTTAGTAATTTCCATACTTCTAATCAATACTGTTAGTTAAGGATAATAATAATGTCTTTGAATGATTTTTTAATGCGAAGAAAACATGCATTTAATGTCGAATATACTGTTTATTTTGACATTAGCGCCACCTAGCGGTTCCATTCCCATGAATTTTATTTTGTTTTGCGGTAGACTTTCTGCTGGAAACATCCATATTTAGTAAAAATTAATACATATTTTGTTCGAGTGGGATACTGGTAATAGATATAGCTATACAATTTTTACACAAGATATTTAGAAGAGATAGCGGTAATTTCTGCAAACTCAACTCAAAGTTTATATTTTTTGGATTATGACACTACTGAAGTACTAAATGGGCGATATGTATACCGAAAGTGGGTTAGACTGACCGGAATTCAATTTTTTTTTTTTGTAATTAGACATACATGTTTTTACCACAGATTAGGGTTCTGCCGACACAAAAAACTTAACCCGATTCAAAAACTTTTTTCTAGAATGCACTTACGGTTAAAATAATACACTTCTGAGAAAAAAGTTTCAAACAAAAGTCACGTATTTTTATCCTGAGAATCCGAGAAAGTCGATAATAGTTATGTTTGTTTACTCATTTCCAGTAAAATCGAGTAAAAGTGTTTATGAATTTTCATGATTTGGCTCATTTGCTAAAAAAAAAAATGGTATTAAAAAAGATCGCGTAAATACTTGGGAAGAAGATATAAAACCTTGGCGTATAGGTCAATAGAAGAACCGCACTTTATGCACTGCCCAACGATTTTCTTCGTAGCGAGTGACTCACATGTTGATAAGCTGCAAAATATGCAAAACTGAGCGATAAGATTCATCCCCAACAAACTGTACGACATACATACCAATACGATATATGCTTGTAGCTTTGAATTGATTAACCGTGAAGCAACAAGAAACTTGTGTACAATAGTAAGAAGGGCAAGCTACCGGATTAGCTTAGCGATAATATTCGATATATAAATGAAACCCATACATATATATTAAGAGAGAAAAACTGCTTCATACTCCCAAAGTATAGAACGGAAGTGGACAAAAAATATATATATTTTAAAAAGGCTTAAAGTACTTTAATGAATTACCAGTTGTTTTAAAAAATTGTGATACTATTACTCTTTTCAAGAGACGGATATACAACTATTGCAGAACCCAGTCTTATAAGACAGTGATGTACGATCAACAGCGTGGATTGGAAACTAGGCCTTACCAACCGCCATGACAGCGCGACTGGGCGGATCGAAAACTCAGCCTTTTCTACCGCCAATGACAAAACTCAACGGTTGACTATTAACTTTACTACTGCAGCAAATTTTTTTTAAGCTCTCGTAAGGTGACAATTGTCATTGTTATTGTTATGACCTACTAAGTACGCGACAAAGGCGAAACAATGCTCATAGTATGTTTTAGGCGCAGTAATTGTGACAATAGTCATACGATGAATTTTGTCAGTGTTATGGGAATAGAGCAGTATATGTTCAGTGTGTGTGTTATTTTTTGTGTAGGGTTGCCACTTTTTTTAATTATAAAATCTTCACCGTTCGTCGGACTAAAAACTGAGCTATTAAGTGAAGGGATATCAACTGCTGAGTGGAAGATCGACCTATCTCGGCAGCCAGCTCGAAAACACTCTATCTCAAACAACTTTTCAAGAACATCCTATTTCAGAATTCGTTTCAAAAACACCCTATATCAGCTGCAGATTCAAAAATGCCCTATATCAACACATTTTCAATACATTTTGAAGTGAGATAGGGCGTTCTTCAACCAAATTCTGAGATAGGGTGTTTTTCAATAAAATTCTGAAATAGGAAGTTTTTTGAGATGGGACGTTTTCGAACTGGCTGCCGAGATAGGTCGATCTTCCACTCAGCAGTCGATATGGTCTCCGGATGCGAACTAATAGTTTTTAAGTGGGGTTGCCACATTAAAAAAAAAAAACTACCTTACATATAATACGCGAAGGCATTTTTTGTTACTTACATCAGATTTTCACAGTTCATTTAATTATAAAATAAAAAAAAATAAAAAACTTTTTAATAGATAATGCTTTTATAAATGGAAAAGTAGAAAATAATATTTCTCAGTCCCATAGAATTTTTTTTTTGATAACTTTTGATTTTGAAACTTTAGCAAAAATCGTTATAAACAGTTCATGAGATTGAAAACGAAAAACGTGGAGCGCATGCAACACAAAGCACCTAATTTAATTGACAATAGTCAAACTACATAACCTATGTAGGCCTAAAATTTCTACAGAGAAAATATAAATTTGAGATCGATTTTAAGCGGTCGTTATTCATATACCCACATACATACATATGGGACTGAGAAATATTATTTTCTACATTTTAGTCCTTTTAAAAAAACGTGGTATATTAAAAAGTTTTTTATTTTATTTATTTTCTACTTTTAGTCTTGTCTGTATAGAATTTTCAGTAGATATTAAAATAATTCAACGATATTAATAGATTGGTGCACACACATACACACATACGAGCACCAATTAATTTCATTTAAAGAAATGGCGTGTCATCTATTTCCGCTGAGCTTGGCCTTCAGATGTGAAAAAGGATTTATTTTTTGGAAGAGAGTTGCCGCCTATACGAAAAATTGTAGGCTGCTCCTTGGACAAAAAAAATTAGTTGTCAAATGAAAGGACTTGGCCTCCAGCCTGTCAAAAAATTATAAGATTGCATTAAAAACATAAGATGTCAAATGAAAGAGCTGGGCATTTTTGAATAGGGTTGCCACCTGTTTTCTCCAAATGCGTATGTGTACATACCGGCTAGTTAATTTTTATAGAAGTCTAGCATACTAATATAACCAGCACCATACAAACCCACATTTCAAAATTTGTACAAATATTATAAAAATTCAACAAATTTTACCGATTACACCAAAAAAATTTAATTTTTTATTCAAATTCTTGGAAAAATGTTAGGTATGCGTTTTATAGCCTATTATAGTAGGATAAAGTGCAAGTTTCAAGACGCTTGTATCATGCATATATAGAACTACAATTTTATCATGTAGATACATACATATGTACAGCCCGCTTCACTTGAATATGTACAAAGTTACATCTGAATTGTTGATCATCGAAGAAGTTTGTTTTTTGATCACATATTGAAGAATTATTAATTTTAAAGAAGTAGTGAAAATTGAGAAAACTGCTATCTTATTTGTGCTTATTATTTTGAATCCCTTGAATAGGCACAGTGGCTTTAACACAAGGAAAAACCTAGATTGAACCATCAAAAGCATAACATTCATTTTAATTCTAACATATAACACACAATATATGGAAAAAACCCCTATCCGGTAGACATTACTATAGGCGCTTTGAAAAATCAAGGACATCTCGCTGCTTACTACTTTATCTGACAAGCAAAATTGCAAAACATCCTCTTCCAAATATTTTCCATTAAATTTAGGTCCTGTGAATGAATGTACTCTGAAAAAAATACGACTTTGCTTCGTTATCCTCGTTTTTACAACACCTGTAGGGCGAATCGGTGCGTAATTTTCTAGCATATTCAAGAACAAGTTGTGAAAATATGCGACAAATGTAAAAAAAAAAATCCTTAATAGTTGTTTTGGATGGATTATTCGTAATTTTGGAAACTGGAAATATTGGGCCTCATGCATAAAAAGTGAGCTTAAGCTCCGACTCGATTTTTAGTACAAATTCTTGAGCTTGAGCTCACCCCAATACGACTTGCCTTTTTTCCGTTTTGGATTTTTTATGAATTTAAAAAATAAAAAAATTTAATATTTTAGGCAAAAAATATTTTTTTTTCTTCATACATTTATTTTTACCGGCAAAACTGTTGATTATATAGAAAAACGTTATATGAACAGATTAAAGGAATTGTAATTTTTAATTTTTTTAAATTTGTTTGAGCAAAATCGGACTAGTGGTTCTCGAGTTATGTCAAAAAAAATACCACCACAGGTGACAATTTCCCCTATATGATAGTTACTAACTTCAAATCGATATATCTCGATTCCTAGACGTGACCCAGAGTAACGCCGGGACACGTATAACTTCTTTTTTACCGATATAACTTTCCCCGGTAGTTTGAACCCTTCCCGATCACTGACCCCCACCATTTGACTCACAGTGTTATTAAATCCGTTGTAGCGAACAAAATTAAGAAAGAGAAAACCACAATTTTTTAGTGGTTCTTTCAGGCATGAGAGTAGTACAAGGTTAGGGTTGTATAGTAAAACTGATGCCTTTTTTTAACATTTTGTAAACACAGAAGGGTATAGGCACGATATGCTTGAGAAGGCAGCGAAAGCTTCATTCAACTGCACGACTTGTTCGCACGCACACAGCGACATCAATTGCACGCACACTACAAAAATGCTCTGCCAAAGTTGCCCACCGCTGGTATAGAGTAATCCGTGGTTCCCTTGTGGTGTCGTCAACACAAACGTTTTTCTTTCATTTTGGTCCACTATCTCGACAATAAGATACAGACCTCGTAAAGGACTTTTGTATTTCCATCTAGCTTTTTGCCATTTCATGATTTTTTTGCAATGCTGTGAGCCGGCTTCAACTGTCAGAAACATTTGCATTTTCTTCAGTTTTATTTCCAACAAATCGCCTGCGAAGTCCTGGACCCACGAAGCTCACCATTTATGCATTTTTGCAGTTGAAAGTGCGCTTGCTTTGCTGTGTTAAGGTCTAATTACCCTTTAAATTCTTAAAAATGTTTTAAATGTAATTCTAACAATTTTGCTATACACATAAGGAGGCTACGCATCTTTGTACCTATTCAAGTGAATTAAAATAGTAAGAATAGTGGCTGTTCATACTTTCCATCAGGTTATCTGGTTATATTTTTTATTCAGTTTGCAATAATAAAATACACTACAGAATAATAAGTTTTAAATAGATAACCTGATAACAGCCACATAATTTTTGTGTAATTTGATATAAAGTGGAATAAAATCCAAAGTAATCAAGGTGTTTTTTTCATGTTTTCTTAAGCGAGATCAAAATTAAACTTCTCTGATGCCCCAGATATAAGCATTGATCTTGTGGAAAATATGTGTATACACATATAGGTATACCTATTCAAGTGAAGTGGGCTGTACATAAATACGTGCATAAAATATTCGTGTATGTTTATTTTCCAAATTATTCAACTTACATCTGTGCGTATATTAAAGCAGTAACACACATCGGTACTATCATGCAAACCACTGTCCAAACGAAATAGCTATGCTCTCCTTGTTGATGATATTCCACAGCCAATTTAATATTGAGAAGCACTGTGATGACTCGCATTAATATAGAAATTACAGTTGCTGCTATATCCCTGAAAGACACGGTTTTTTCCTTCCACGCATGTGTTCCAGCATCAACGCCATCTGCGTCTGCGCCATCGGCATCCGTTTCTATGCATTCAGGTAAATTACTTTTCCGCATGCACTGTTGGCGTGTCAATCTCATCAAATCCAAAATTGAAGTAATATTCTCCATAATTTCTATACCAATTTGTTCATGTATCGAACATACATGCATATACATATATGTATTAATTAATGAAGTTGATTAAAACTTATCGCCATGCGTCAGCGTGTAAACTGGACATTAATCATTTCATCTTATTTTTATGGTGCGACGAAACGACCTCACATTCGAGTAAATTATTATGAGCATCTAGTTTTCCCCAACAAAATGTGCACGTATACCAGTGTATGGGCGTGTATGTTTAACTTGTATGTTTAACTAATCTTTGTTTATTTATTTATGGTAGAGCTAATAGCTTAAAAAGGAAAAATGCAAAAATAAACATATCGCAGCAACAAATATTAAACGTCAGAAATATAAAAGCGAACGTAGGAATTAAAACAAACAACAAACGATACCACGATCAGCTGATGGCCTAGGCGATCATAAAGTCGATAGGCAGCAAACATGATTGAATCATGGGCAGCAAATACCGGCTACACATTCGGTTCTTTCCCGTACGCAACGCGGGATCCCGTGGACAAATGGCGCTTACGGCAAAATTTGACTAAAGAAAAACCCTTATAAACTCAAAACTAATTAACAATAAACATTAAAAATTAAATAATTTAAGTGTGAACTAGTAACATTTTCAGAGACTTTGTAGAAAATCTATCTTTGCGTTTTTGGGAATTGTATTCCAAACTTTAATCGCGATTTCCCACAACCTACCGAAATTAACATACGACAATCTTTTACCCAGGCGACGAAATGGATAAAGTGCCAAAGTACATATCAGTTGTTTTGCATTTAACTACATGTAGCCTGCATTTACTTGGTGCTTTTAAAAATAGTGAGTGGAGTGNAACTAAGCAATTACTTTTTCTCAGATTTTCATACCTTTCACTTAAATTTATTTGAAAAAATTTTGTGAAAGGTCTGAAATTTTAAGAAAAAGCATTTGCTTAGGTTTTATGCATACGGCCCCTTGTTAAATACACCCATGATACAAATATTTAAAGGTAAAACCGCTTGCCCAATTCGTCGGCCATCATTTACTTTTTGAAGTTTGTCTATTTTATAAAATTGAAATTTTGAGAGCAACTCAAATGCCAAATAAAAGTAAAACAAAAAACAAATAAATGAAAATACCCTGCAAACCAAAGTTCCCGAAATCTTAACGAAATCTTTTGGAGTATCTGATTTCTGTAGCGATTTTTTCCCGAATCTTCAAAGAAAATTATATGAAGTGGTTGACACGAACTCGTAAAGAAATTTCTGTACGAAAAATAAAGAAAATTCTGAAAAAAGTCTGCAAGAAATTCTTCACATAGCAGCATTATTTTCATTTCTTTACCGATTTTCTTCCGAAATTTCGTAAGAGAATGGAAGTGTGCGTAATTTATTTCATTTTAGAAAATTCGGAAAAAAATCGGATGGGATCTTTCCGAATTCTTTAAAAATTCTTTACGATTCAGAATACTCTGAAAAAATGGTTTGCAGGGAAGGCACATTTACATATATATGTATGTAGTTCCCAATCAAAGCTCGTTCGTCGCTTTTAAAATCTCGATAAATAAATAAAATATACTAAAAAGAAATTTGTTATTGAATTGGCTTTTAAGGATGTAATAAAAATAAATTCTCATTTATTTTAGAATTATTAATAATTACTGGCGGCCGCTGTGGTGTTGTGGTTAGCAATGCACGGTACAACTCCGCAGAGCCTGGGTTCAAGCCCTGGTCAAAGCAAAATATATAGAAGTTTTTTTCTTAACAATGCTCGCCCTTCGGTATGCAATAGCAAACCTCCGAGTGTATTTCTGCTATGAAAAACAGCTTCTCTTAAAAATACAATCGCCGTTCGGAGTCGGCATACCATATGTGTAAGTGTCAATCTTATATTATTATTAATAGTTACTAAGGAATAAACTTTATAAAAACTTTATTCTTATACGAAACGAAAATAATAAGATATTCTTATTTGCTTATGTGAAAATTTCTAAGCTGTACCTCATAAAAAAAATAATGACACCCATTACATACAATGTTTTCCGTTCAAAAATAAATATGTCAATTGAAATTTCTTTTGTTTTCATTTTGCCTTTATTTTTTAATGTCAATCGCAATTGTATAAAAGAATTATAAAAAAAAGAGTATTCCACCAGAATCCAAACAAAATTTCTTAAATTCCAACTAACTGCCATTTAATTTAAATTATGAAAAAATTTATTTTTTTTTGGTTTTTACACCATACGTACATTTGAAATCTTACCATGCTATTATATAAATTTTATTGTTTGCATATTTGCATTATTATTATAGTATGCTTTCTTCTGTTGAGCGGAGTGTGGTGTACAATTTTGAACTGTTTCTAATGCATATTCACATTGGAGATACGCGTACATACATTTTTTTAATACTGGAATTCAACCGCATTTCTTTGCAAAGATATTTCTAAATACGCGTGTATGCTATTTTATTTATCCTTGCGTTTTTATCTTGAGTTTTTTTGTCTTACGAGTGTAGACATGTACTTATTGAAAGAGAAAACGACATTGAAAATACCATAAATAACCGACTAATGGTCGTTTATCTACCATAAGTCGACACTTTCAAAATAAACGAAAAAAATAAATAAATTTTCAAATATTTTGGTTGTTTGATACAGAAATGCATGTACATAAATATGTATATATTGCATATGTAAAATATTACGTTTTCAAAAAAAAATAGCAATCCAAAATTTAGCGAAACAAATAAATAAAAAATAATGATTGTATCTGAGTTGTCTGAACATGACATTGTAATTATTCAAAGATGTCTTTATTATTAACTCTACCTCGCTGATAAGTTTTTTATGTTTCTATTTTGCTGCATGGCAAATACTCTGTTGCATGTGATATTGGTTTTATGAAAGTCGCACTTGGTTTTATACTGGCAGTGAGTAATATGAAGAATAAAATTTTCTACTTCGTGGGTATTTTCCCGCTGGTTTTGAACTCAGTCATTTCCTGGAATAAAACATTGGAAAATACATATCAAGTGATTTTCCTCCGAAGAACGGTGTCAATGCATTTGGTTTTAAGTTAATTATGCCATTACTTACACGGTCGTAGCGCGCCTTGTCCTTCTCGGCCATTAACACGTACCTCTGTTTAACCTCTGGATCCACATTGGACCATTTACGACCAAGCTCCTTGGCAATATCGCCAAAGCCATATTCGGGATTCGCAGCCTTAACTTTGCTGCGTTCCTCATTGCAAAACCAGAAGAATGCAGATCTAAAGAGATTAATGCGATTTTTAGCTAGATTTCATGTTATAGCGACAGCTTGGCTACGAACTCACAATGATCTTTTCGGCGCAATCGGATCCATTTTACCTACTACCGAAATGTTATCCAAATTTAAGAAAGGGATATCAAAGGACGCGTATGTATTAGCAAAAACCGCTTCGTTTAAATCAACTCACATTTACATTAATAAATGCACTAAATGAACACGTATTAATATTTAGTTGTTAGTACAATTTACTTCAACGGAATTAATAACAAAATATCTAGAAACCGTATTAATTATTACAATATAAAGATGAACAAAAGTACATAAAAGTGGCGTCGTATTGTTAGAAATGTGGGGAAAATATCGATGTATTCCAATTATCGATGTTTTGCTTCGATACATCGAAAATGTTCTACTCAATTTAAAATAGTCGATGTATCGATGCATAAATGCATCGATGTTTTTTGAAAACTGAAACTTCTGAACATTTAACCGCCATTTCAGTTTTTCAAGTGTGCAAAAAAGGGACTTGAGTTTGACCACAAAGTTGAGATGCCTCCAAAAAGTTTCGCTAGAAATACAATAACCTGAATTACAGTTATTAATTTAAAATTTTTTACAGTTTTGCTTATAACATATTTTGTTGTGAAATTATGTCTGAAAAATCGTATGCACATCGATGCGTCGATGTATCGAAAAATATCAACGCATCGTAAGACGGGTTCACACGTGTGCGGAGTTGACTGTCATCAAGTTGAACCTCGTGTTGTCAAGCAACTTGATGAACGCTGGCAATGGCCTTGAATCAAAATTTGTACTGCGAAAATAATAATGGGATTCATGAAACGTCGCAAAGTTATTGCAAATGTCGCATTTGTCGCAAATTTGCCATCTTGCGACACAGCTGATTACTTTTGTATGGAAACTTTCTAGCGACAAATACTATGGCAATGTCACATTTTTTTTTGGTAATTATTGCAAAGTCAAAGTCGCGAAGCACATGTTTTTTTATTGTCTTCAAATACTTCAAAAAAGGTAAGACTGCTTCGAATTTTAGTAGTAAAACTTTTCTCTTTCTCTAACGCGCGGCATTTTTGAAAAATTTTACATTAGCAATCCAGAGTTGCGGTAGGTCGCTCATACAACTTTGTTCGCAACATGGCCATTTCGCCAAAAATGCCACTTTGCGACGTTTTATGAATCGAACTAATATGTATTTATTACTATCCCCGCTAAAAACAGAAGTAAAGTAGGTACTTGGTGCCATAATTAAAACACAGTAGGGGTCTTCATCAAAAATGATAAACTGCTGATAAACTAGATAAAAGGATAAATTTATCATTTTGATAAATGAACTGTCAAACTTTATATGGAAATCTATTTAAACAAAGTTGATCACTATATCAAACGACTTTCGTGGATAAATGATTTCAAAATATATATTAGTATAAATATGTATATGAATTTAATTTTTTTCGTGGTAAACTTTCCGCTGAAATCAGCCTATGCCTGAAACTTTTTGATTATACGAAAATCATTTTATAATCTTGTATTTGAATATGGATTTTGAGATCGTAATAATACATAATATTCAATTCTCAAAAATCTTGGTCTCAATGATAGTAAGCATATATTATTCATTCAAGGAAAATTGTTAAATAAGTATAGAAAGCCTATGGACAACGATGGTTGGTTTACACATTAAGCACAAAATTATATGCATAAATAACTTTGAATCTAAAACATATGTACATGAAATCGAATTATTCGAAAAATATCAAACTCATCATCATAACACAGAACCTTTTCTTTCTACTGTAAGTGAACTCCTTGAGGAGGTACTGTCACTCAGAGTCATGTCGGTGTAACTAACACGTATTTATTTTCACTAACACATCCAAACCGACTCGCGAGTCAGACGCACCGTGGATGCCGCCTATTAAGGCCGGTCCACATAGAACTTTCGCCTTGGCTTTGGCGTTGGCGTTGGTTTGACAGAACGCAATTACAAGTATGCATGCTACAATTAACGCTTGACAGCGAATGCTTGGGCCACTAAATTCACATACTAACGACAGATAAATTAATATTTCATATCAATAATTGCATTAAAAACGATATTTCTTGCCCGCACTTGATTAAAAAGGAATAAATATTTCACATAACTTTATTTATTTGCAACAGCTGACGAGCGACGCACGCGAAAAGTTGAGAGTTGGCTATGTGGACGGCTGCATTTGAATGCATGTATTAATAGTCAGCTGTTGAAGCGACGCCAACGCCAACGCAACGCCAAAGTTCTATAGGCCCGTTTACATACAACTTTGGCGTTGCGTTCGCTGACTATGAATCCATGCATTTATATGAAAGTCTCCACATAACCAAAGTTGGACAACGCCAACGCCAACACAACGCAGAAAGATGGCCAACTCGCAACTTTTCGCGCGCGTCGTTCGTCAGCTGTTCCAAATAATCAAAATTATGTGATTTAATTTTCCTTTTTAATCAAATGCGGACAAGAAATATAGTTTATAATGCAATTATTGATATACAATTTTTTATTTATCTGCCGCTAGTATGTTATAGGCTGTTTTTGCTTACGCGTAAATGTACATTTATCCATACAAAATTCGTCACCTAAATGCAACTAAATGCAACTCCATTTTTGCATTTAGAATCTAAATGCTAAAAGCAACCCTGTGATCTTCCAAAATTTCCACGATTCGAACATGGTTTAATGAGAAGAAGTGGCAACATTGCTTTTTCGAGTATACAGCCGCTAGCTGCGTTTCAGTGATCGCCGATCGAGATTTCATTTATTATTTTACATTACGTGGATAAAGAAAAGTTACGCAAATTANGCGACTGGAACACGGCTGTTTAACAAAAGCATACGATTTCGAACTCGCGTAAATGTACATTTGCTAAATGCTATAGCATGAACGCTCTTCGAAAACATATGTTCGAAATGGCTAAATGTTGCATTTTAAATGCAGCAAAAACGCTGCATTAATTTAGTGGCCAAAGTATTCTCTGCTAAGCGTCCATTGTAGCAAGCACGGGCATTACTCGCGCTGCTGTCAAAGCGACGCCAGCGCCAACGCAACGCGAAAGTTGTATGTAGACGGGCCTTTAGTGGACGGGTCCTTAGAGTATCACGTTCGGTGTGAATTTCTAGCTACGTATTGTCAGTTGGGCAGCTGCAAGAGTGTTGCAAACTTTCATCAGTACAACAGTAATTCCGATTTTATTACGTGCCTCTAACAGGCCCAATATTAGGTTAGGTATGCTGGCCAGCTACTGCGTCGCTTCACATGTTAGTCCGAAATAAAATCAGAGCTATCACAGAATCCAACGTAGAAAATCTACGAATTCGAATGCCCGCTATGAATATGAAAAAATTTCTATCCCTGAATCCGGGTGAACTCGAAAATGGCGTTGCCAGCTTCGAATGCTGATAAGAAATCAGTTAGTGCAAAGGAAACAATAGACATTTATGCATGCCATTTTGCGCACGCACTCCCACAGTCGCAATGGCAAATTGAGCAAAGCACTAGCACTCTTATGCTGACGATTGCTCGATAATGGCATCTGGGAATGGAATTGATGACTTGTGCTCGAAAGTAAACGGATATCTCGCCCAGCTTTCTCGCTTCTTTCTCGTTTACGAGGTCGTTTGCGCATCAAATTTGCCTCGTAAATTTACGAGGGGCTCGTAAATAGAGCTCCATATAAATTTTGACAGTCCTTTTACGAGGCTCGTAAATTTACGAGCCTCGTAAAAGGACTGTCAAAATTTATATGGAGCTCTATTTACGAGCCCCTCGTAAATTTACGAGGGGCTCGTAAATAGAGCTCCATATAAATTTTGACAGTCCTTTTACGAGGCTCGTAAATTTACGAGCTTTACGAGCTTTGCGAGGTCGGCCGCTGTGGTGTAGTGGTAAGCAGTGCGCGCTTCCACTCCGCAACGCCTGGGTTCAAGCCCTGGTCAAAGCAACATCGCAAAAAAATATAGAAAAAGGTGTATTCTTAACAGCGGTCGTCCCTCGGCAGGCAATGGTAAACCTTCGAGTGTATTTCTGCCATGAAAAACAGCTTCTCATAAAAATTCAATCGCCGTTCGGAGTCGGCGTAAAATTGTAGGTCCCTCCGCTTTGTGTGACAACATCAAGGCGCACGCCACAAATCGGAGGAGAAGCTCGGCCAAACACTAACATATGTGTAAGCGCCAATCTATTATTATTATTATTATTACGAGGTTTGTGAGGCATTTACGAGTTTAAGGGAAGAACTTCTTTATTTGGGGCTGACTATAATATGAATAAGCAAGCGTATGCAAACGTACTAATACACATATACCCTATTCTGAAACTATAATGTACTTAACATCAAGTTTCGCCAAGTTTCGTCAAACGTCATTTGCTTAAGGAAAGGGCGTTACTGGTCGCACCTTCCGTACGGAGTCAGCTGTTTGTACTCGTATGTATGTACGTACATATGTAACACATGCAGTATTGCCGCTTTGCGAATTTTTTTCCCAAAATTGGCCATTTTTACCTTTTTTTAACATATTTGGTAATTTGTTAACTTATTTTTCAACTTGGTAACTTTATAGATGCAGTCCTACATGTAACATAGGTCAAAACAAGTTCTGGTTCCACATTAGGAAGTGGGCCGTAAGCGTTTCCTTTTACAGAAATACCAGGTAGTCCTGAAAGTTTCGCAAGTCAAAACTGAACACATCTAAGTAAAATATAGCCACCCAACAGTCTATACTACGTTGCTTATGCATTTGAAAGACTCGTCGTTCATTTTCTGGCAGTCAGTTACGGCAGCTTATTGTGTCATTCTTAAAGACCGTTCGCACCAGGCGATTTTGCGTTCAACTTTTGCGTTCAACTCACGCAGGGTTGCACGAAAAAAAATTAATGGCCATTACTAGATAAGGTTTATATCTTGATACATATGTTAGAATATAAATAGCCAATAGAGACCGCTCATTTTTCTTCAAGAGCAATATATATCAGAGCTTATAGCTTGCCATCTATTGCCAGCAATTTGGTAGTTTGAAAGCTATATGTTCATTTGCATGAAAACGTGGTGGCGGCAACATTATTGATATTTCAATATAAAAGCAAATATTGGGCTGTTTTCTGTGAAAATATTTGTTATTATGTAATTGGATGTAAA